ATAAGAAAAAACTGTTTTGTTCAGAGAGATATTTTCTGTCGGATATAAAATTGAAAGAACTACTTTTATCTTATCCCATCCTTTCTGCCTTCTTGGTTAAAAAGCGGCTTCAAAGACACGTGTATGTATGTAAGTATGCGTGTATCTATTACGTTCAGTATTAGTCTAAAAATCTGCAAAACTGAAACAGTCTGCATGTGTGTACTTGTGTGCTTTCTTCCCTCTTTTTCGCTGCACACCAGCCAGTATGTAATTACTACCTGGCTATTTAATTAGCCGTATAATAAGTGTAGATATAGAAGAATTGTAAGTAGATATACGTGACTTACATATTATTCGTATATAGAGATTCAATGCCTTGATAAACAAATGTGAGAAGTTAGAATCCATGGGCCATTGAATCGGGTCCCCGTGGCTGAATGCTATACGAGCTTGCCTTGTATACGTAAGGTCCTGATTTCGGACCCCGATGATTCCCAAACTAGGATGAAACAGCAGCTGTCCAGTACTCCCTGGTTTTCAATGGTTCTCTAACTGATTTCAATCCGTGATTAACTCACAAAAACAAATCTAATCCTTACAAACCAATCATAGACTACAACTGATAATCGCTGCAGTGTTATATTAAGTTAATCAAAGATACATAGTCTTTTCAAGCTGTAGTTTCTAAGGGTTTGTTTTGTCTTAAGTCTGACCACGGACTGATACCAATTAGAGAACCAGTGAAAACAAGAAGGGAGTACTGAACAGTTATTTCGTCCTAGATATTGGGACTCTTCGACAGCACGCATCCACGTCTCCACTAGGGATGGAACCCAAAACTTTCGGATTTAAAGGCAAGCTAGTGTACCACTGAGCTAGTGAGAGGTTATCCAAGGACAGGTCCATGAATTCTAACTTCTGCCAATTCTTTATATATATATATATATATATATATATATATATATATATACCGTCAACCGGTGTCTAATACCAAATTGAATATCAGATAAATTAATCAGATGAATAGACTTAGTTTTTGGTGCTCAGGGACACCTGCCAGTGTGGGTAAGTAAAGATGTAGTAAAAGCCACCAGTAGTTTCGCATCAAATCACTTCGTTCAAAAGGGAGAACAAGGACAGAATTGAAGGGTATTATTGCTGTCACCTATCGAATATCGAATAAATTGCCAATCGTCTCTAAATACCAAACACTGCAAATAGCACAGGCCACAGCAATTCACTGTATGTTCCCTAGTGTTACATTTACGCATATGCAGTTTAATCTGTTAACAGTCTATTCACCTGTACCCGTTGGAATTATGATCTTTATGATTCCATTTTGTTTATAAATCTTAATGTTGTCAAAAGCAGTTATTCTTTAACCAATGTAGATTTCATGTAACACTGCAGCACCTGGTGATGAAGAAGAAATTGACGAGAAGAATACTTCTATCACCTATCATGTTGCCCTATTATTGCACACTTTAAGAAAAGATTTACTGTATGTATAGGAAATATCTGATAATATGATGGCACATATTAAATTTTCTTTAACACTATTTGGTGTAATAACGCTTTTATTAATAGGACTAATTGTTGTCAATGATTCTAGTTACTTATGAGTAGTAACTAAAGTATTTTTAATTTAATGATAACAGCCTTATTCTGAACAAAATGTTTGAAACTATGGGCACTGGGTTCGAGCCTCAGTGGGAACATCATCACTCACTGAGAAATACAGGTACATCCAGCTGGCGAGTCCCAAATAGGATGAAATGCGCTTTATCCTGGATCCCACTGCAAGCCACCATCCACCAATTGTATGTTTATCTATAGTTTGGAATTTTTAACTTGGTTTTATCCACACCTTGTACAAAATTTTCTAGTAAAACAGTAGTGTCTACATTGTCATTAAACCGCATTTTTCCTATCTTCAATATTATCTAACCTCTAACACATTTTTTCCTTCAAAAAAGACCAAGTGTTATGTTGAAAGCCACTCAGAAATGCATGTGAGTACTTATTGTTATTCAAGGGTATATATAGGCGGTTCAAACGAAGTATAACTGAGTCAGTTTAACGCATTGTGCTTTGTGGGAAAAAATTAGGCAGCCCACTGATTTAAGCAGACTTCCAGAAATTGTTGCTGAAATAATTTCTATGACTCTTAAGAAACTAGGCATTATATTGTGATTTTCGAATGAATTTAGTTATGCTTCTTCCAAAATGAGTTTGAATCAAGAACTTAGTTTCCAGTAAATTACCAATTCGTAATGATAAATTTGACTTGGGTATCAGTCATACGTCTAACTTATTAATGACTGTAGTGACATAACTATCACTATTACGGTGGTAGCTTCAAAAGGTGTAAATTCATTCTTATATTTGTCAAGTCAGTTACTGTTATGGTAAATATATAATTGATTAAAAATGCCCATTAAAATTTTCAAAAGAATGGATACTGAACAAAGAGTACTCTTTTCGATAACCCCTTCATCATCAGGGTCTACAGTTATATATACATACATTATAGTGAATGAATGAATTAGTCTTATGAACAACATTAATGCTGTTTAAATAACATCGAATCAATAATATTGATAGATTACACCTGAATCGCATCAACATAAAATAAGCTGAATGTCAGAAGAATTAGGAAGGATAATATTGCAAATTCATGAGTTTATAGTTTTTACTGAGAGCCAGGGCAATATTAGGGGCTGGACTTGCTTCTTTTGGATGCAAAGCGCTGGTTGTTTGAGGCGAATTGCAATAGCCTCTGCTGTTTGGAGCCTGCGGTGCTGTTTTTTAAATTCCGCAAGGGTACAATGAATGGAATCTTTGTTATGAAGCAGTTTTGACGACTGCATATAATTTTTCCACCTGATTGTGATAGTAGAGGTATGAATATGCATATATTTCCGTTACTTATGTAGTTGGTAGAAAAGCATTCAAGGGTTTCGTAGGGCCGATGCAAAGATGCCATGTAATGATATTTTCGTGTCGTGTCACACAAAGGAAGAAACAATTGGTTTTGATGAATCAAGTATTACTAGATTCCTTTTCAAACTCTTTATAAAATAACTTTTCTTATTGAAATGTTTTGTTTTGTGTATGTCTGTTCTCTTCTTAGCTCAAAGCCTATTTTTCTGTCTTTCAAGAGTTTTTTCAATCTTACTAACCTCTTAATCATTTCGTTCCCAACGTTCAGGCTGCTGATAAAAGTGAGAGGTGACATTTCACTAAAGTATCACTTGGAATCCAAATCACAATCTGTCAAATGCTTGCTACCATGAATGGTGACTAAGCAAGCAAACATCATTGCATGATGCTGTATACTATTGATTGACTGATTGACTGACATGTGTGTTTGAATGCCACTCACACCAACCAGTGTTTGGAGATCGGTTCGAAGTTGTATAACCTGTGGATGGCCTTATCGCCCGTTTAGAACCGAGCCCATAAGCAGTTTGCCCAGTTTGGACTTGCCTGACAGATTTGAATCAGCTCAAATCACTTGAATTCTGACTAGCCAGTTGAGATTTCTGTCTTGAATAAAGCCAGGTGCACCGCTGATTTGCTTGGATTCAAATCAGCGAAAGGGACATTCAGTGTTTATATCACTTCAGTCTAGCTAGGAAGCACTACTTGTTGATGTAAGTGGTATCCAACTGTTCACACAAATCAATCAGTAGTATATTACATAATGCATTAAAAAATCACTTTTTTGGTTCTTACGATTTAAGATAATAAGAGCTAGAATTCAGTCCACAGGAGATTACACTGAAGCTATATTTCGTTGTTGTTAGCCACTCAACAACAGGTAGACTCACCTTGAAAAAAGTCATATTTACTGTTAAATTCATAACCAGATTCATTTGAAGTTAGTGTAGATTAAGCTATTTAAAATAAAACTGACCAGCAGTAAGACTGAATAATTTTCTGTCGAACTCAGCTGTGTCATTTTTGACTGTTGATAGTAAATAAGCTTTCAGTGACACTATATCGCTTTTGTATTATAAAAATAGATAGATCCACTGAGTCTGTATCCATTTTCTTGTTTAATTTTTAAGTGTTATTTTGGAGGAATTCGGTTGGTTTCAAGTTATGTCGATAGGCTCGCCCCGTATTCTGAAGGTTCTGAGCCAGGCAATCAGCGGGGGAAATAAATGTGTGCTGCTGGAATAACTCAAACTAAGATAAAACATGTCTTCACTACTCTGTGTTTTCCAACAGTTCTTTGAGTGATGTCAGTAATTTTATCTAACGTATACTTAATTTTCCTTGTGTGGATTGATGGAAGGGGGTTGTTTCCGTTCCGTTATTGGGACCGGATTTCACACCGCATAAAACTTATAACAATAGTCAAAGTTGTTACTATAGCGATGGTGTTAAGCGTTAGCAGTGTACTAGGAAGAGATTATTCAGTTTGACTCATTTTGTGTGATTATATTTCCACAAACAATTTTTTCATCCCGTTGCCTATATCTTACCTAAGGGATTTATTACTTCTATGTACTAACAATGTTAGGTTTACATTTGAAGGCGATTGTTTCCACCAAGTTGATGATGTTGCTATGGACAGTCCGTTAGGGCCCCTTTTAGCAGATATTTATATGTCGCACATTGAGAATTTATCGGAGGATTTAATCGAAAATGTGCCACTTTATAGAAGGTATGTAGATGATATCGTAGACATCAGTGATAAGCCTAGTTCCGCCACTACAATTTTAAATCGAATGAATGAAGTTCAGAATAGCATATCACTTGCATCTGTAGAAGAGGAAGATAATTGTTTATCTTTCCTAGACATATTGCTTAGTTGGCGGCTTGATGGGTCAATAAAAAGATCTATTTATAAAAAACCTACCTGGACAGGACAGTATCTTAATTACCACACAGTTTCTGCCCTGTTCGGTACATAAGAGCCTTGGTGAGCGAGGTGCCTCTTCAGTAGAATCCAATGAATACGCACTGAAGACACACTTGATGAAGGAAAACTTAATATTGGTTGGCTACTAATTTGATGATTTTTGAACTTGGTAGTATAGAGCAGTATGAAATGCCTTGCTTAAATTCACGTGATAACCTAAATCTACAATTAAGAATTGAGCATATAATTTTTCCTTATCATAATGATCATCTCTGATCAGATTGTCACATGATATACATTATGAGTAGGATAAAAAAAGAAAACTGCCCATTCAAAGCAGTGGATGATCATCTATAAAAACTGAAAATTAAATGACAGTTATTGGTAATGCACTTTTTAGAATAGATGACGTTTTTGATATTAATAATATCTATACTGACTGATAGGTCTACTCTACTAGATTGACTTTTATTGATTCTTGCAATGTTTAAGTAGCTTGGAAACCCTCTAATTAAGGCATATGAAAGAAGAGATATTCGCTCCTTCTTAACAGTATCATCCTGGAAAGCTGGAAGGATCAACTCTTCTGCAGACGCTTCTTCTTTTAGGGGTTACATAACTCACAAACTCTCTTTACAGATTATCAACATGAGACCCAAATTCAGTTCACTTCGGAAGTAGAATCAGACATCGGTGAACTTCAATTTCTAGACTGCCTAGTTAAGAGAAAGGAAAACAGACATTTTAGTATATCCATATTCAGGAAGAAAACCCACTCCAATAAATATTTAGACTTCAAATCATCACACCCCATCAGCGCAAAGATTTTAGCTGTTTCAAGTCTTCTTAGACGAGCACACTCCCTGATAACGGATGAGAAAGAAAAAGAAGAAAAAATATCAAACATCACTGAAACTCTCAAGCAAAACAACTACCCAACGAACTTCATCAACAAAATCAACACAGACATTAAGTATGGCCGAAAATGCATTCCGAAAACATGGACATCAACAGTCGTCATTCTATATACAGCAGAGACGTCAGACGATATCAGAAGAGTACTCAATCAACTCGACATTAGAGTTTTCTTCAAAACAACAGACACACTTCGAATCAACCCTGTCCATATAAAAGAACTAATCCCTAGAGATTCTTTATCTAATTGTGTCTATAAAATAAAATGCCTGCTTGGAATGTGATGCGATCTACATCGGACAAACATCTCGTGAAATCAAAATCAGAAGAAATGAACACCGTAGAGCATCTCTCCGACCACCACGAAATCCAAATGAACTAGAAAAACTTGAAAAATCATCAGCCGTAGATCTACATGCTATAGAATCAGGCCACAAAAGTGATTTTGACAATATTGAAATAATCCAGAAAAACTTCAGAAACCACAAAGAACGTCTAATATCAGAAGCACTTCATATCAAGTGGAATCCAAATTGCCTGAATAGGAATGATGTGCTAAAACAGAATCTAACCTGGCTACAACACCCTCCCCCATGAAGTAGCAAAATCAACGCAAATGTGATGAGCAAGTTCACTATGTAAACACACACTAATTTCATAATTCTACACACTGACAAAATCCAACAATCTGCACTTGATTTTGCTATCTTTACCAGCTCGTCAACTTGACAACAAAAAACGACCCAAACTGACGAACGATGATCAAGTATTTCACAGCCTACACTTAGTTTAGTTACTTTTACCTATTCTCCAACATGACAACCAAAAATGACCCCAGACTAACGAACGATGATCAAGTTAGTAAACTTTGTTTTGATATAATAACAGATATACTATTACCTTTGTTATTTGGTTTAGTGATCTTCATTGTTATTTTGACCTTCAATATGTCCTTTTAAGTTGACCTAACTCTTTTTTCTCACCCCTTAACTCTTTGTTATATATATGCTGAGATTTTGTAAATTCCGGTTTAATAATACTTTGAGAAAGCTATTAGCATTAAATAGCGAAACGTCAGTAGAAACAATATCGTTCTGTTTTTCATTCATTGGGAAATACAAAAAAACCTTTATTATAAAGAATTAAAGTTCATCAGTCTGTCTGTTATAGTACTGATAAATAATATGAATCGATTTCAGATTTGGTTACAGATTCATATCAGTTAGAGAAGCCATTTCATTCTTGTTCGGAAGTCCTATACACTATCCAAAAACAATCCACAAAACCTAAGAACAGAGTCTCAATAACGCAAAGACAACAATTTGGAAGAATAAGATGGCACCATCATTAATTTTACTTGCCTCTCATCAGCTGCATACAGCCGAAAGAAACTGAATTAAGTTTATGTACAGAGCAATTTCAAAATATTCGCAAGTGTTACATGACGTCAAGTGACAGGAGGTGGCTCCAAACTTAATAAACGGTGCATACAAAATTACACTTACATACACTATACACAGAGAGTTCAACTTAAAACCAAAAACAAATGTTTGCATAGAATGCCGAAGGAGTTATGTAATAAAGACAAGAAATGAGTAAGTTGATGAGTAACTAATGAATTAAATAACACTACAGTGAGTTCAACTCAAACCGTAGAAACAAGAGAAAAGCAAAGTTACAGTATATCAAAGCGGCAGAGGTCAAAGCCAAAGATTAAGTAATCATATGAGGGAATCAAGACACCAAGTTACCAAGGCTAGGAAACACGGACAACTGCTTCTTTTTGATCACATAAATCGAGTTTCAGGCGTTTGATAGTGATCGCATCTTCAAGATTAAGAAGAACTGAACGATTTTGTCTATTGATAATTTTGAAGGGTTTAGCTAATACCTTAATACCTTTATTGATGAGATGTCTGGCAATGGTGTTAGTTCCCTTAGGACGTAAGCTTTTTGGTACGTGTTAAGAAAATCGGAGGTGTGCCCTTCTTACTGTTCTCTCAATGTAACTGATATCACAAATACATGTAAACTAGTATATAAAGTCGGAGTTAACATGAGAAGGCTATCTGTCGACTTTCGATTGCACCAAAGGATATGTTGTTCGATAAACTGGAACCAACTTGACTACAGGATAGGTCCTGGTTGGTGAGGTATTGAATCTTCTGTTGACTATCCCTGCAATATTCATACTGGTGGGCTAATTCAAATAATTTTCTACCCAGAGCTAGTAGTTCTTCGAAAGGAATGGCGAAAGGACATTGTGAAGTAGTAGTAGTAGTAGTAGTAGTAGTAGTAGTAGTAGTAGTAGTAGTAGTAGTAGTAGTAGTAGTAGTAGTAGTAGTAGTAGTAGTAGTAGTAGTAGTAGTAGTAGTAGTAGTAGTAGTAGTAGTAGTAGTAGTAGTAGTAGTAGTAGTAGTAGTAGTAGTAGTAGTAGTAGTAGTAGTAGTAGTAGTAGTAGTAGTAGTAGTAGTAGTAGTAGTAGTAGTAGTAGTAGTAGTAGTAGTAGTAGTAGTAGTAGTAGTAGTAGTAGTAGTAGTAGTAGTAGAGGAAGCTTCAGGCGGAACAACATCTTCAAGTGATGTATTATATTGACCATTGTATTACTTGAAAATTTTGCACAAGGATGAACTTGTGGAGAATTCTGTATTTTGTGTAAATGCATTTTTCAGAAAATAGCACTATTATGATTATATTAACATAAAGGCGGAAATGAAAATAAGTGGAATGCATCGTGTTGGTGGCTCAGAGTTTACTCTCTTCATAGTTTTTTAACCGTATGCAAACTTCAGCTTGCAACATATCGACAAAATTTTAATTCACTGTTATACAATATCATCTCATGTCTATGATCTTTGTTGAATACATGAACAAAAAGAGGAAGTGATTTTTAATCTCAAATGATGGATTATATCGACTGCTTTCTTCACCCCTTGGGAAATCTGATCTAATCATTCTAAATGAAATTTTGTATTTTATTCTGGCTGCAATGTTTATCATTATTTCAGTAAAAATGCTCCTATTATATAATGGTGGTTGCGTCTCCCGTATATTTTCATTCTTTCGATAAATCCTAATATTATGCTTACATGTTCATCTTGCATGTTTGTGTTTGTTTGTTTGTTTGTTAATCTGTTATTTCCGCTGAGTGAGGCATTGTATAATAATGCAACAAGTTGCCAAGGTGACAAGTGTAACAAGTAATCCTAAAAACAAAATGAGTGAATATTATTTTTTATGTATACCTGATACTTTCTGGATAGCTATTTCATCCTAGTTTGGGATGCTTTAGCAGTGTACACCAGGGATCGAATCCACTAAGTTAAACTTAAAGTCGCTAGATAGCTGTTTTGGTGTTGTCTTTCTGTGCTGTCACATTTTTCATGGTTAGTGCTTTCATTTCACCTGCAACCGGCTAAAAAGAGAAACTATGACTTGCTTTTCGGTGAAACTGGCACACAGAACAGTTGTGGTGGACCTTTTCACTCTATTAGCTTAGTTACCCAAATTCAAGTAAAAAATAAAATACCAAATGAGTTTAGTTACGGGAAGAATGTATTAAAGTTTGATTACTTGAGTTTACAAAGGTCCACAGTCCACAATAAACGTAATAGACTCCAGGTGCTGCGGAAAGACTGCTCCAGTAGTAATTCTCCAATGTTAACGTTGCCGGAGGTCGACCAAAGTACGTAGGAAGAAACTACGGTGCTCCTGCAAAAATCAGAGATAGAAAGCAGGTGATTAGGATTGATCGACGGCAGTTGAGATGGTGGAGAAGACGGAGAGTCGAAGGCACAACTATATATTTATTCAAAACCCGAGGTAAAGTCAAAGTACCGAGTTTCTGGTTAAAACAAAGTGGTGTACAATATGTTCATTATTTACATAGTAGTAAAATTTGGATAAGTTGATTTTTGAGGACTCCACACAGTCAACAGCTAAATTATGGAGTACATTATTACTTCCGGTCACACACAATCGGCAGAGACCTCTTTCAGAGTCACATATGTAAAGTAAGGTCAAGCCACTGGAAAGGATTTCGTTTTCATCTTCATCATGCAACCAAAGTGTGGTGATTGACAATTTCTATCTCTGTATTGTTTAAATACTTACTGTTGACTGTTGATATGTTTCTTATATGAATTGCATTCTAATTCCGCTAAATACAAATTCCTGATTGCTGCCCTCTCTGGGTTTTGTTTAGATTCTTATAATTCCGTCAGATCGAAATACTAATATTTCAAGTACAATAAATTACTACAAATTGGCGTCGCGATGGAGCTAAGTAACCTGGGAAAATTTCCTCTTAATGGTTCTCCGCGGGAGATTGCTGATTATTTGGAATGCTTTGATGCGTGGTGCATTTCCAAGAATGTTCGGGATGATAAAATACCTGCTCATTTCATCACCGCTATTGGTCTTGATGCATATAGCCTGGTGAAGAATCTGGCGTTTCCAGATAAACCCATTTCTATGCCATATGCTAAGCTCCGTGAACTTCTTATAGATCACTTCCATGTAACTACTTTTGAGACCAGAGAGAGGGCTCACTTCAACAAACTGGTACGTTCTCCCAATCAGAAGATTAGAGACTTTATTCTTCAACTTCAAATTCAAGCCTCAAAGTGTAATTTTGGAGATCAGCTGCATACACAACTACGTGATCGTCTAATTGCTGGAATCAACATTCCTAAATTAGAGAAAGAGTTAATTCAGATTCCTTCTTGTACGTTTCAAACTGCTAAAGATGTATGTATTACATATGAAGATGTCAATAATGAATACTCTGCTCCCACTACGTCAGTGTCTGATGTTATGCTTTCTAAAGTCGAAAATACAAGTGGTCATGGAAAGCAATCCAAACTGCCGTCCACAGGTAATAGAATGCAGCGAGAGATCAAAAACATTAAACCGTGTTTATCCTGTGGAAAGTTACATCTACGAAGCACTTGCCGTTTTCGGGGTGCTAAGTGCTATAAATGTGGTAAAGTTGGACACATCAAGACGGTTTGCAGAAGTTCGAATACTTATGTTGCTCAACATTCTTATAATTCTCCCAAGCTGTCTAGTAAAATGGAGTCTATGTGTCTTTCAACTTTTCAAAATACTCAAGCTAATCCAACGAAAACCTCCACTGCAAGTTCAGCAACGCAAGTATCAACTGTATTCAAAAATGAGGTAGCTAAGTTGCAATGTGAACTGTCGAAAGCACGAAAAGACCTGAATGAGATGAGAGAGCAACTGAATAAAATTGAGGAATTACTGCATATGCATAGACTACGTCTGGTGAATCCAGAGCATACAAGTTCTTGTGAAAGTCCTGCAAAACTATTCAAATCTCGAATTCTCAAAAAGCATCTGATGTCCACTACTTCTAATGTACATTATTACAAAGATAATAACTACAGACCTTCTGTTGGAATTATACTACAAAAAATGGGAAATCGAGTGGTGAAGATATTAGACATCAAAGATCACTCAGTTCATAACGGACACCTGGACAAAGTGACAATAAATGAAGTAGGTCGTTCCAATTATAATATTATTGATTCCGCTAATAATCCTGATTTTGTAGATAATTCAGAAATAAGTCCAGATAGTACTGATGAAAATAATATCACAGAATCAGTTAGGTCGAAGCTACTTGCAAGCAAACCGAGACATCGTTATAAATACGCGAGGAGATATTCGAGGTGTGGCGGATGTGGTGATTGACAATTTCTATCTCTGTATTGTTTAAATACTTACTGTTGACTGTTGATATGTTTCTTATATGAATTGCATTCTAATTCCGCTAAATACAAATTCCTGATTGCTGCCCTCTCTGGGTTTTGTTTGGATTCTTATAATTCCGTCAGATCGAAATACTAATATTTCAAGTACAATAAATTACTACACAAAGCTTTAACAATCTATGAGGAAAACCTAAATTTTGTGCTCAGGAATGTTTTATAAAGCCTCTCATGGTCCCATGACCTATGTGTCGATTTTATTTACCTGAATTCTTGTGGAATTAAACTCTGTGTAATCCCGCTAAGTTTTAATTTCCTAACCCATTCTCAATCCCTTGTTCTCTTGTGCCTAGAGGGCACAGCGGTTAGGACTCTCGCCGACTATGCGTATGGTCTGGGGTTCGAGCCCACGCCGACACACACCTTATATCTATGGTTGGCTTGCAAAATTCGGGCTACCGATATCACATGTTGAAAATTCCATACTTGTATCTAAAATACTGTGTGGAATCAAGCTATAATAAAATAAAAAATTTTAAAAAATTCCCATTTATCATTTCCATATGAATATTTATCACTCAACTAACTGGTTGTAAACCCTCTTGATTACGTAAACTTTCACTATTTTTCAAGCAGTGTTATTTTTCGGACGGATTAATTCACAAGATGACATAAGTTAATTAACCACAGGGAAACCAAGGAGTACTAGGCAGCTGTTTCGATAGCGTTTCGCGACCACAGCGGTTCGAACCGAGAACTCTCCGGGTACCAGGGGAGCTAACAAACCATTCATCTGCTGGCACCTAATCCAATAGCTGATCCATTAATTCGAACTTCTGCCAATTTGCGATATATATATATATCGCAAATTGGCAGAAGTTCGAGTAACTTTTGTCTTACCTGACTTGATGGACTTCGTCGGTCACCAATTCCCACCACAACTCCAGGTAACTTCCTATATAGAGCTAGTCACTAGTGGGCATCAGATTAATTTTCAAGTGTTAGTTAACAAGGCTTCTATTGGTTACGGGGCTTTATCATCAGCTGATGGTTATTCTTTATATATCAAGAATTGGAAGAAGTAATTTGCTGGCCGTTGGATTGAGTCCCAGTGACTCATTGCTTCACACAGCCCGCCTTGTAATCCTGAGGTCATGGATGTGAACCCCAGTGGATTCGTATTACTGAGGAGGGCCAAAATAAGAAGAAGCAGATGTCCAGCACTCCGTGGTTTTTCTCCAACTGCTGTCAGCTCATGATCAAGCCCGAAAGCAATCAGATTCCTCCAAACCAATATTTGAGAATTTCTTATACTCTTTGATTTATTTTGTTGTCAATTACCATGATATATATATATATAAAACATGAATAATTGTACAGCTTTGAAGTGGAATTGCGAAAGTAGATGTCTTTCCAACTTATTTTCTCTTAAACTCTAATCAACAAGCAACTTCTTAAATCCTGTGTCAACACAAATTATTTATTTTTATACTGATCAAGCGAAGTCATCTTTGACATTCTAATTTATATGTTTCACTTGATAGGTGACAAGTAACATGGTTACAGTAATATTTTATATAGAAGTGTGTATATATCTTGTAATAATTACATTCACTAGTAGTCAGGTGTATTTTTCTCATTCTAAGGAAGTCAACAATTAACTATCACTTGACACAGTGTCAGTCAGTTGCTTTTATCCCCCAACTGAAAATCACTCCTCAAGTAGGCTTATTCCTTTGTTTATTTTATTGATTTCCAGCCAGATCATGAGAAAATAGGATCTGTTTTACTGTTGTTGTCACATTGATCAGTAGAAAATAATAATAATTTCTAGCCTGACCATATATAAATTATACCTAATGACAGTGAAGCAAAAGCCTATTAATTATATTTACCCCGTCACTATTTTTCTGTCATTCTTCCCGTTCGTCAC